ATCTCCAGGTTTTTCTTCCTAGTTCATCTTAGCCTAGAAGCTCTGCTGAAACTTTTTTCAACATCAGAACATCATAGTGACTCCACTGACAGGTTCATTGGCAGAGAAGGAGAGAATCCCACTAGACCACCCCTGCTCTCAGCCTCAAACCCTGCTCCCTCTGGCGGGTGGAAATGTCTTTACTTTGTTTGCACAGAGCCGAGCCAGCACTGTCTGGTAACTTGACTGCCCTCATCTCTGTGTTTCAGCAGAAGGGCTGACTATGGGGGTTGCTCCCGCCCTACGGATGCCTTGACTTAGTGCCTCAGAAATGGCTTTTCCAAGAGGCCCAATGTCCGAGCACTGAAGGAGTGCCACTCTCCCTCACACAATGGGCTGGTCACGGAAATGGCAACTTGCAAACGTGTCCTCACCAAACCTTTATGGCTTAGGAGAAACTAGGAAATCTCGTTTAATTATTACAGTAACCCAATGAGTTGGTGCAACTTAGAAAGCTTCAGCAACCTAAAGTCAGGCAATTAGTGCTTGCTCCAGTCTGTCTGCCTTCAAAGTCTTTCCACTAAACCAAGCCTCTCTTCTTCCCTCCTGTCTCAGCCCAGCCCAGTTCCCTAGGGTGGCATTTTTTTTTTTACGTTTTTATTGTGTACTGAGTGATAGTTTACATGGGAAGACATCAGTTTAACGCCACAGTTTCATTTCAGTGACTACAATCTCCTCCGTGCATCATCATTCAACAATAATTGCTTCCATTCCCTCTGTGTTTTGCGGGGAGCAGGGGGATGTACACAAAAACATTCAGGAATATATAATCATTTATTAAACAACCAAAGGGCACATTCTGCAAGCCTGCCTCCTGGCCACCACCACTCAGTCCCTCTCTTTCCATGAGTCTGGAGTCCTCAGCTGCTCTGTCTCCATGTCCTCTGCCTCCATCTCTGGTGTCACTTCTTCTCTGGATAGGGTCCCACACTTCACTTGCGCTCTTCTCCCTTGATGATCCTAGGGTCCTCTGCTTCTGGACTTAAGATTACTACGCCCCCATTTTTGTTACAAAACCTCTACCTTTACACTTGTGACAGTTGCAACTAGTCATGATAACTATTACTCACTATTGAATCACAAGAATCCTATCCCCATCTCCTTTCACCAGACCCGCCTAGGGTGGTGATTTTAAATATCCCTAGGAGTCCTGGTGTGGTACTGTGGGTTAATGCACCAGACTGTAAAGCCATTTGAACTGCAAGGTCGGCTGGAGGTTCAAGTTCACCAGCTGCTCTTCGGAAACCCTACAGGGTCGCTATGGGTCAGGATCAACTCGACAGCACTTAAAAACAACAACAGGAAGCCTCTAAGGAGCTCTGGTAGCATAGTGGTTACGAATTGGGCTGCTAATCTCTCTGTCAGCAGTTCAAAACTACCAGCTGTTCCGTGGGAGAAAGATGAGATTTTCTGTTCCCATGAAGATTTACAGCCTAGGAAACCCTGTACAGGGTTGCCATGAGTCGGAACCGACTCCACGGCACATAACAACGACAAGGAAGCCTCTAGAAGGCAGTTCTGTTGGAATGTGACCCAGGGTGGATGCTGTATGGGTCTGTATTTGGTTAACAGTGGCTTCAGATGTGAGCAGAGGACATCAGCAGGCATGTTGGCCAGAGCTGGCCTGAACTAGTTACCTTAGCGATTTCTAGAAGGAACGAGGCAGAGGCAGCAAGGGTCTGAGGATCTTAGCCTAGATCTAGGGATCATCAATGTTGACCTGATTCCCTGGGATCTTTCACCTATTCTTCCCTGGCCTGGACAACAGAAGCAAAGGGATCATGTACCTGTTCTAACAGGAAAAAGGAGACAGTATTCTCCCGCGTGCTTCAGACCTTCCCACTGCTTGATCTGACCTTGTTGTTGTTGTTGTTAAGTGCTGTCAAGTCAGTTCTGACCCATAGCGACCCTGTATAGGGTTTCCAAGGAGCATCTGGTGAGCTTGAACTGCCAACATTAAGTGAGTCCAGCAACCCACAGCGCCACACAGGACTCCACCTTAGCTGGCTCAGAATCTGTAGCCCCACACCCCTTCCCTGCCTCATGTGGGATCAGACTCAGGGTGTACGGAGAAGCAAACAGCCCCATTCCCCCTCCTCTGGTCTCATCCATGTTTAGGTGTTTCCTGGGAAAGACAGACCTCTAAGAGCATTTTTAACTACAATTTGTCTCAAGGAGAGTAGAGAGAGGGGCCTGGCTGCTTGCCAGGAGTAGGGAACCAGGACAGTCTCAGCCAACCAGGAGAGGGAAAGGCCTCTCACCCTTGGCTGCTGGTCTGGGACTGTCTTCACGGTTAGACTAAGGAAGGCCTTAGCGAAGCCATGGGGCGCCCCCTGGTGGTGCTCCTTGGTGCATTGTTAGTAACTCAATGTCATGATCCTATCCTAGAGGTTCTGATTTCATCGCTCTATGACAGTCCCTGGGTAGTACAAAGGTTAATGCGCTGGGCTGCTAACAGAAATACCAGGAGTTCGAGTCCACCCAGAGGTATTGGAAGAAAGGCCTGATGATCTACTTCTGAAATGGCAGTCACAGGGCCTCCCACCCTATGGGGTACAGTTCTATTCTGACACACGAGGTCTCTATGTGTTGGAGTTTACTCCAAGGTAACTGGCTAAGGGCCAAGTATTGGTATTTTTAAAAGAATCCCCATACTCCAACTCACCCACAAGACCCTAAGCCACAAGACCCTAACATGCAGCTGTGATTTGTGACTGCCCAGTGCTGCCCACCAGCTGCATTCCTTCATGTGGCCCAGGATGGCAACATTTCCAACTCTGCTAAAAAGGATCATGAACTCAGCAAGACATGTTTCCTCTGCCTCATCTCTCCTACAGTGCTGCGATAGAGGCTGCTGACTCTCCTGTGCCCAGTTCAGAAGAGCAAGGTGGCAGGAGAGCAATCAGCCTACTGGCTGGGATGGCAGTTGGTCAGAGAAGGTTCTTTTTCTCTGCATTGTAAAGTGTCCTGGAGTTGGGGTCCCCTGTTTTACCCCCAATGCCCAGCCACACTGCCATCCTGCTACGTGGCTGCTTTCCTGCCATCCCTGGTGGAGCCAGAGAGAGGATGAGTCTGGGTAAGATCGGCAGGACACCCAGGAGCAGCCGAGCCAAGGCTCAGGTCATACTGGGATAGTGGGAGTAGTCCCTGGCCTGCCCCAACCTGCCTCATGACCAGCAGGACAGGTCGGAACAGGTGGTGGATGGCCAGGGTGTATTCGCAAGAGATAGCTTTGAGCCATTGTTGAGAAGATCCCCCTGTCAACAACCAGACAAGCTACCCCTTACCACTCCTCACCCCTTCCACTTCCTCTCATCTGCTCCTCCACCTCCTCCTTATATCATACACACACCAGAGACATCATCCAGCCTCACTCATTGGCTCCCTTACTTCCTCCCCAAAGCGAACTCACACACATATTATACCCACACACTGCACCAGATGAATCACAGCTCCAGCTCCCCACACACTCCATATTAATATACGCTTGTTGCTATTAGGTGCCATTGAGTCAGTTCCAATCCATAGCAGTACTATGCATGACAGAATAAAACACAGCCCAGACCTGCACCATCCTCAGGATTGTGGTGGTCTGAGCCCATGGTTGCAGTCACTGTATCAGTCCATGTTATTGATGGTCTTCCTTGTTTTTGATGATCCTCCACTTTACCAAGCATGATGTCCTTTTCTGTGAACTGATCCCTCCTGATGTCCAAAGTATGAGATGAAGTCTCATCATCCTGGCTTCTAAAGAGCATTCTGGCTGTACTTTTTCCAAAACAGATTTGTTTGTGCTTCTGGAAGTCCATTTGTTGTTGTTAAGTACCGTGGAGTAAGGTTCTGACTCATAGTAACTCTGCACAGGGTTTCCGAGGCTGCAAATCTTTGCAGAAGCAGAATGCCTCATCTTTCTCCTGCGGAATGGCTGGTAGTTTCGAACTGCTGACCTTGAGGGTGGCAGCCCAACTCATAACCACTATACTACCAGAGCTCCTTCTGGGAGTCCATAGTATTCTCAATATTCTCCTCCAACACCATCACTCAAATACATCAGTTCTTCTACGGTCTCCCTTGTTCACTGTCCAACTTTCACATGCATATGCAGTTACTGGAAATACCATGGCTTGCACATCTTAATCCTCAAACTGACATGCTTGCTCTTGAACACTAATATACACTAATGACTCTTATATACAACTGGCCTCACAAGGTTATTTCTTCTCTAGAAGGGAGACCAAATCTATAGCTTTTTTGAAACTATGGGGGTTAACTATACTGGTATAACTGGACATATGATGGGGACACGGCCTCCTGGAATTAACATCTCATACAGGCTCACTCAGCCACAGTGGGGCACACTCTTCCTTCATGCCAAGAGACCATATTGGAGACCCATGGGAACCAGTGTCTCCTGAAATGTGTGGTTGGTATGGCAACAGGGGGCTGGCTGGGGTATGAAATCATGAGCAGAAATTTCCTCTGGACTTTCAGCTCCTGCTGCTTGAGCGAAACAAGCGATTCCCCCTCTCCTGCCTCAGCCTGAGGTCATGGGTCAAATCACACAAGCTGCAGGGAACCCTCTGCCTTCACCTCCATGCCCCATTTTGTTGGATTCCCTAGGATCCAAAAGCCTTTGCTAATAACTCAGGGGCAAGTGACAGAAGGTAGCAGGCGTCTTGGACAGGGAGAGAGAATTCATTTAAGGGGTGGAGTTCAAGTTGGGGAGAAGACTGAGGCCAGTTAGAGATGCGCTTGGGAAAGGTTCTGAAGGAAGCTTTAGGCCAGTGTGTCCCCTTCCCTAGTAACAACATTAGTAGTTGTTCCCTCTGCCCACTCCTCCATCATGAGGAGACCATGTCCCTGTTTCCTCTCAAGGTTGAAGAGCCAAGTAGGGAGTTCAGGTGGGGAAGGGACCCTCCCAGAAGCCTAGCTTTGCTTCCTAATATCCCTTCCTTCCAAGTCTATACTTCTGTCTGAGCCCCAGGTTCTGTGGCTCCCAGAATGGGCACTGTGGGCTCTTTGCCCTCTAGAAAGGCAATGATGCCCTGATTTTGGCTCCGGAAGGCCAGCTGCAGGGATGTGCAGCCCATCCCATTCTGGGAGTCCAGTTGGGCGCCGGCCTTGGTCAGCACTTTGAGAATGGCCATGTAGCCTTTGAGGGCAGCCAGATGGGCAGGTGTCCAGCCCACCCTGTTGCGGTCATGGACATCTGCATGATGCTCCAGAAGGTTGATGACGCTCAGGAAGGCTTCTCTTTGGACCGCCAGGTGAAGCGGTGTCCAGCCAGACTGCTCAACGGCATTGGGGTCAGCTCCACACCGCAGCAGGGTCAACACTACCACCTCCTCCCCGTGGCGGGCCGCCAGATGCAGGGGGGTCCAGTTCATGCCTCCATGAGCACCCAAGTCTGCGTGGCTCTCTGCCAGGAGATGGATGATCTCTAGTTGGCCCTTGTAGGCTGCTAGGTACAGGGGTGTCCAGCCCTGCTGGGTGGGCAGCTTAGTGCTGGCCCTGTACCTGAGCAGCATCTTGCAGATGAGGTACTTGCCCCTGGCGGCCGCGGTGTGCAGTGGTCCATAACCACCCTGATCAAGGGAGTCAGGAGCCGCCCCACTCTTCAGCAGGTGTTGGATGGCCCTCACTTTGCCCCGCTCCACAGCCAGGTGCAGTGGCATCCTCAGGTTTCTCTGCTGAGCATCCAACTCAGCCCCTTGGCCCGTCAGTAGCTTAACCAGGCTGACATGGCCAAAGTAGGCAGCCACATGGAGAGGTGTCTTGCCTTCAGCCTCACGCTGATTGGGGTCAGCTTGACGGGAGACCAGGAGCCGGGCCACGTTCCCAAAGTTGTTCTGTGCAGCCAAATGCAGCGGGGTCCACCCCTCATGCTCTTGGGCATCCACACAGGCCCCGTGGTCCAGGAGCAGGCGGGCAGTCCGGTCATCCCCATTCTGGGCTGCAAAGTGTAGCGGGGCCCAGCCGTCCTCATCAGCCAAGTTGGCGTCTGCACCGTGCTCCAGGAGCAAGGCACAGAGGTCAGACTGCTGGTCCTGTGCATCAATGAGGAGGGGTGTATAGCCGCTGGCTGTCTGGCAGTCCAAGTCCACCTCATGGGCCAGCAGCAACCTCACCTGCTCCATTCTACCCTGCGCCACCAGGAAGTGGAGGGGGGTGACCTTGTTCTCATAGATGCGAAGCTCCTCCTCACTGGGGATCAAGCTCTCACCGTCCGACAGCTGCAGCACCCGCTTCAAGTAGTCCCCGGAGTCTGCGGGAGGAGGATGGGAATGAAGAAAGGCCTTTCACCTGCCCAGAGGTCATCTGGGCCATCCCCCTGCATCTTGGAAGGGTTGTTTTTGTTGTTATGTGTGTGGAGTCAGTTCTGACTCATAGAGACCCTGTATAGGGTTTCTGATGAGCAGCAGGTGGGTTTAAAATGCCAGTCTTATGGTTAGCAGTCACATGTCTTCTGCTATTGAAGATCCCCTGCGTGGCAAGAATAATTTGCCCTTGGCTGGTAACCAAAAAAATTGGAAGTTTGAGCCCACACAGGTGCACCATGGGAGAAAAGGTCTGGTGATCTCCTCCTGAAAAGATTACAGCCAAGGAAACCCTATATGGGGTGGTTCTGCTCTGAGAGAAGGGACCCTATAGCACGCAACAGCGACCGCAATAACAGTTACTACTGTTGTACCTTCCCGTTTGGGCACCACTCCATTGTCTCAGGGAACTGAGGCACAAAGAGCAGAGTCAGGAAGCCCGATTTCCAATCCTACCTCTGCCACTTAACATCCTGTGACCTTAGCCAGTTCTCTGCCTCTCTGAGTCTCTAGCCCCTGACCTGTAACACCTCACACTGCCACTGTGAGGACAAGTCATGCAGTAAAAACTTCCATGGGGGATTCCTGGTACAAAGTAGATGAAGGCAGGTTGGGAATGAGTTTATAGCTGGAGTTCTCCAATCTGAGCTCCTCCTGAAGCTATTCAGGACCTGCTTCCTTCAGCTCTAACAGCATTTAAATAAATAAATAAATAAACCACAGTTGCCGTCCAGTCGGGCTGGATCCTTGGGACTCCATGTCTTTCACAGCAGAGCCATGCTCCATCAGGTTTTCAGTGGCTGAAAGTAAAATGGAAAGTAGATTGCCAGAACTTTCTGCTGAGGTGCCTCTAGGTGGACTCAAACTCTCATGATTTCAGTTAACACTTAAGCACGGTAACCATTGGAACCACCTGGGGACTCCACCTAATGGTATTTGAGAATAATAATTAAAAAACAAAACAAAACACTACCCAGTCCCAACCCCAGATATTCTGATTTAATTTGCCTGAGATGGAACCCAATCATCCGTTTTGTGGTGTTGTTGTTTTTTTAAGCCCCCATTGATGCTAGCCTACAGCCAGGACTGAGAACCACGCTCCAGATTTGGACCAGGAAGGGAGGTGTCTGAATGGAGGGCAGAGTCAGGCCCCCCCAGGGGCATGTGCTGTTCTAGAACATGGAGTGGGGCGCCGGGGAGAGGGACCCACTACCCGTGATTTGTGACAGGCCTGGCGGGGATGGGGAAAGAGTCCACGTTTTCCTGCACTATGAACTCTCTGGTTCCATGTGGCACCCTGGGCTTACCACTGTCTGTTAGCTCCTGGCTGATGTCCTCGTTGACCTGCAAAGGGATCAGAAGACAAGGGTGTGGGTTAGTCTGTGCATTCCACCCACTCTCCATGCTGTCCTTCAACCTGTCAGGACCTTATCCCACCCAGTTCTAGGGGACCCTCCTCCTATGGCATCCTTCACCAGCTGGGTCTGGAGGACAACATCTGTTGGAAGGAGGTGGCCAAGGGCTGTGTCTTCCCCTTGGGCCAAACTGAAGGAAGAGTGAACCTGTGCATTCGAGTTGGGAGTACAACACCACGCCATGTCTGGTTCCCGGGATAGAGCGCAGCCAGGAGAGCAGGGTCACGATGTCCAGTGGATTTGAAAGCTTGGGAGTGTGGAGGTCTCCTTTACAGGCTAGGGCTCTGTTTCCTTCCACCCACCTGAGAGACGGCATGGACTTCTCAGGGGCTTGGAACTATGGTCACTGCTCGCCTTTGTCCCCTTCTGGATGGACTTGGTCCTAGACTGGGCTGCCTGGTCTGGTGAGCAGTGTGACCGATTGCAGCCCCACCTGCTCCCTCAGCCAGGCAGCCTCAGAAGGACACATCTGTGTGTCCACAAACAGAGCCCACGGGGGCTCTCACCTTTGGGGGCCGGTGCAGTGATGGCTTGTAGGACACCTTCCTGGCCAGGGCCTCGCTCTCAGGGTCTGTGATGATACTCTGGAGCAGAGACAGCAGCACGTCTGTCTCCATTGTGATGTCTGCTCTGTGAGGGAAGGAGGAAAGGAAGCAGCAGACTGGTCAGCAGTCCCCACGTTCCCTTAAATGCATTCCTGGGCACAACTGCATTCTTGCATGTGCCTTGGCAAGCCATTGACCCTCGCTGGGGACAGGAGGAGGGGCTTTCTAAGATGCTCACATGTGTGTTTTCATGATCTCGGAAGGACTGGAAATTTTATGGTCCAGTGCGTGCATGGTAACCCTTAGACCAAGAGCAGACTGACCCCCTGACTGCAGGTCTTGGTAGAGACTCTGAGTTTTACCTTTGTCAGGCTGTCTGTGTTTCTGGACAGTCCAGCTTGCTGGCATCTAGGTGGGGCATGGGTGGGAGAAGGTAGGAAAGGGCTACTTTACAAGGCAAGAGTGTCCCAGCCAGAAAGCATGAGGGTCTGAGCTGACTTTTCTCTCTCCTCTCACTTTTAACGTAAGTTCTAGAAAATCAGGGGAGGGAGGAAGGAGAAGAAGACAGGAGCCCCCAATATAAACCTGACACTTTTTCCAGCCTCTAACCCTTAGCCTTAAGGACCCATGGCCAACTGGAGACCTCAGAGGCAGAGCCAGAGCTAGATCCCACGTCTCTGGATGTCCAGCAGTGAGGGTTTCCTCCTCTACCAATCTCAGCTGCACACATTTACACACTCTAACCCAGACCCTGTTCTTAGCTGCCCTGGCTCCCAACACCAACCTCCCCACACTGCATTGCTGAATCTGCCTGAAAAATTATTTCTGGGACCCAGGGCAGCAGTCAGACCTCTGTCTGCACAGCTCTCAGAGCGGCCCAAGCAACTCCGTCCCGGCCCCTCACCCCCACCCCCAGCCTCTGAAGCCAGATGAGAACCTGAGAAGCAAGGTCTCTTCTTGGGGTCCTGCTCCCAACAGCGCTTCATTAGGTCCACCATCTGCTGGGCCTCGCACAGCCACTCATCTGACATGGGCTGCAGGGCCGGCCGCATGCCCATGGCCACTTGGACAATGATGGTCATCATATTGAAGCCTGAGGAAGAAGTCCTAACTGTGTGGGTACTGCAAGGCAAGGCCGAGGGGCTGGGTGGGGGTGGGTGGTTGAGGAGCAGTGAATGCAGCACGGAGGGTCTGCATAAATACTTGGTTAACTTAAGCAGTTAAGTTGTGAACAGATGTGAGGTTCAAGTGTGAGGGATCGAGTCTCTCTGGTCCAGGGGCCGCCTTCCAGGCCAAGAGCAGACTGAACCCCTGACTCCAGGTGTTGACTCTGAGTTTCACCTCTGTCAGGCTGTCTGTGTTTCTGGACAGTCCCGCTTGCTGGCATCTAGGTGGGGCAGGGGTGGGAGACAGTAGGAAAGGGCTACTTTACAAGGAAAGAGAGTCCCAGCCAGAAAGTATGAGGGTCTGGGCTGACTTTTCTCTCTCCTCTCACTTTTAATGTAGGTTCTAGAAAATCAGCGGAGGGAGGAGAAGACAGGAGCCCCCCAATACAAACCTGACACTTCTGCCCTCACTAACCCTTAACCCTCCTGCAGTACCCTTTCTAGACCCCACCAAGAGGGCACCCGCCTCTGTCCCAAGACACCTACTACCTGAGTATGGTTTCTTCTGAGTGAGGATCTCCCAGATGACAATCCCGAAGCTGTGGGTGGGGGCAGTGCTCCCTCAGTGTCCTTTCTCAAACATCCATGGGGCACTGGCCAACCAATCCTCCTCCTCCCTTTCCCCTCCTCAGAAGATAGGGATGGGCAAACCCTGAGACCTCTCCCCATCCTTCCCTGCCCATGGGTGTAGAGGCTAAGCAGGGTGGAGACCACAAGTCCGGCTTTCCCCTCACCTGTACACATCATATTTGAGCCCTGGGGCCTTGTTACTCTGCAGAAACATCTCTGGGGGGATGTAGCCGAGGGTGCCTCGCAGAGCCGACCTCTCAATATACTGCATCCGGGTAGACTGTTCCATCCACTTGGACAGGCCAAAGTCTGAAATCTGGGAGGGAGTCAATAATCTTACCTCCAGATGACTACGTTGTTTTCTCACTCCTCCCAACAGCTTCCCTTTGCAGTCTAGTCCTGTGGTTAAGCTCTGAATCCCACAGCCCCATCACTAACCACTATGTGTTTGCAGACAAGTTATTTATCTTCTTAGAGCCTCAGTTGCCTCATATGTGACATGGAAATGATCTGAGCACTGAACTCATAGTGTTATAAAGGATTCAATGAGGCAGCAAACAGCACTGAGAACCCGGGAGAGGTACAGTTATCCAGAGGGGCTATAGATAAAGTTGGCAAAAAAACAACACCTTTGCGGAGCCTTTGCTCATTCCACCTCCATGTACCCTGGAAGACTTACACCGTGTTCTGACTTTGAATCCCTCCCCTTTGCCTCCATCCACAGCAGAAAGATTGACAATCGTGACAACCCTAGGGAGCAGTTCCACTCTGTCCTACAGTCGCTATGAGTCGGAATCGAATTGATGGCAGTGAGCTTTGTTTCTACCCATTGAGTTACTGTTTCACCAATTTACCATTCACTGAGTGATAAGGATCTGGCAGTGGATAAAACCAATGAGAATCCCCAAACTTTCAAAAGCACTTCTTTAATAAATTGGTGTATTGTCATTTTCTAAATAATTGCACTATTTATTGTTGTTGTTGTGTGCTGTTGATGTGTTTCAACTCCTATAGGACAGAGTACAACTGCCCAATAGGCTCTTCAGGTCTTTTTTTGTTTCCTCCCAAGGAGTCACTGGTGGACTTGAACCAATGACCTTTTGGTTAACAGTCCAGCACTTAACTATTGTACCACCAAGGCTCTTTCACTATTGATCACGTATTTACAAAAACATGGGATCAGCCATATGAAGAAAGAGATGTACAGTAAGAGTATACAGTGGAGTCTCCCTCAGGAAGTGACCTTTAAGCCCAGAGCCGAAAGCTGTGTAGGCCTCATTAGAGACTATGGCTTTCACCTTCGTCAGGTGTCCTTTGCTAGGTAAAGAGAGCAGAATGGAAGAAGGGTATTCCAGGCAGCGGGAACAAAATGTGCAAAGGGCCCAGAGCAGAAACAAGTGTTGCAAATTCTAGGAACTGAAGAAATTCTGAGGGATTATTTTACTTATAAACCCACTGTTGAGTTGACTCTCATGAGTGTCAAGCCCATGAGAGTCAGAGTCACCAAGAGTTTTCAGAAATAGATCTCCAGGTGTTTCTTCCAAAGGAAGCCTGGAGTCGCTGTCCAGTGTGCTGCTAACTATTTGCAGTGGTAGAATTCTTGCCCTTCGTTGGGAGACCTGAGCTCAATTCCTAGACAGTGCACCTCAGGGGGTAACTCTCACTCACCTATTAGTGCAAGCTTTCATGTTTCTATGATACTGAGTTAAGTTTAAGTAGAGCTTCCAAACGAAGCGAGACTAGCAAAAAAGGTCCAGTGATCTACTTCCAAAAATCAGCCAGTGAAAACGATGGATCACAATGACCCAATCTGCAAAACCACCAGAGGACTGGCACAAGACCAGGCAGCATTTGTCCTATGTTAATAGGGTCGCCATGACTCAACAACAGCAATGACGATGACAACATCTCACTTATGTGTAGATTCACTTGGGAGGGATAGGGATTTTTCTACCCACGTTAGAAACTGAAAACTGAAACCCAAAGAGTGGTACCTCAGGCATACTGATACCCACCATTCTGTACCGGCTTTTGCTGCCCACCCATCTCTGTTTTAGATGTGAACCTTGCCTTCCATATTTGTCCATGAAGGGAATTCCTTAAAACTCTTGACAGGCCCAATAGACAGACAGGCTGATAACCTGCCCTCCAGAAGGAGACTCTGGAGTGAAAAGGGGCAGAGGGGCTGATAGGGCCTTACCTTGACATTCATGTTACTGTCCAGAAGGATGTTGCCTGGCTTGAGGTCCAGATGCAGCAGAGGTGGCTTAATGCTGTGAAGGAAATTCATGGCCAGGCTTGTCTCGTAGACAATGCGGAACTTGAGCTGCCAGCAGAGGCTGTGGGTAGGTAGCATTTTCTCCAGGGAACCATTGGCCATGAACTCCATCACGATACCCAAGGGCTGTTTGCACACTCCATAGATGGACACAATATGCTGAAATTTGATCTTCTCCATTTTGGCTGCTTCTTCAATAAGACAATTCACCTCAGAACTATGGAGAGGAAAGAGCAAGAGATGAAAGCGGGAAACCCATTCATTACGAGAGCAACCAGCAGAACACACAACCAGGCATGTTGCCAAGCGATGGGGACCCAGAGAACAACAATAGCTTTTCAAGGTAGTGGAGGTGGAAAGAGGGATGGCATGATGCCCAGCAGGCAGAACAGGTCCAGAAAGGACAAGACAGGAAATGAAGGCATTCACAGGTTTCAAGCAAGTCTATTTTGCAAATGTGGCCTGAGAGAGCACTGATCACAGCTCACCATTCATTCCAGTGATGTATTTATGTCTCCCCTCTTAGATGGTGAGTTTCTTAAGGGTCAATATTACGTCTTGTGCTTCTGTCTTAAAATAACATTTATTGCTGCTTTGATTATGTCAGTAATACATATAGCTCATGGAGTCCTTGTGTGGCACTGAGGATTAATGCGCTGGACTGCAAGGTCATTTGAGTCACAAGGCCGGTGGTTCAAGCTCACCAGTTGCTCCTTGAAAACCCTATACAGGGTAGATATGAGTCAGAGCTGACTCAACAGCACTTAACAACAATAACAACATACACCTCATACAAAATCTAGGGAACACAGAAAATTATAAAGAAGAAACTTAAATCACCACTATTCTAACTTTCCAGAGCTGGCCTCCATTAATTTTTTTTCCCCCCCTGAACCCTCAGATTTTTTTATTTTTATTTTTTAATGTTTTATTGTAAATTATGTGATAGTTTACATGGAGAACATTAGCTTTACATTCATCCTATTGTATATCGTTTCATTGCCATGTTACATTCCCCTCTATGCAAAGGGTATACCCTGCAAACCTGCCCCCAGGTCGTCAGCACACAGCCCCTCTCCCTCTCTGGGTCTAAAGTTCCCAGCCACTCCATTTCTCTATGTCATAGTCTCTGCCTATATCTCTGGCATCACTGCTTCTCTGGGTAGGGTCCCGCTCTCCGCTCTTCTCCCTTGATGGTCCCAGGGACCTCTGTTCCTAGACTGCAAAGTCAATCACTCCCCTCCTTTTGCTACAAAACGTCTACCTCACAGTCAGTCCTGATAACAATTATTCACTATTGTATCACAAGA